ATGAAGACTGAAATGGCCCTTCCCGCCTCTGGCTTTCTTGAACATCGTATTTGCGCTGAAGACAAAAAGAATGGTGTGCTAAAGAAAAGGGTACACCCGGTTCCCAAGATAGGTACAGGTGAAGTCCTCATATAAGTTGCCTTGAGACAAAACAAAAACAACAAAACTCAGCTGATTCAATCGCCATTTGACAGGGTGCTTGCATCAACTGCACCACTCTGAGGGCAGAGCTCCGTGAAGGACCTTTAGGATCCAGTGCTGTTGTCCAACAGAGTACTTTAGTAGGACGGAACTGGTCGCTGAATTTCCCTAGTGTGGCCCTCAAATTCCAATACAAGCCCTCTTGAAAGTCCCTTGTCCTCTGGTCTTCAGAGTCTTAAGCCCATTTTCTCCAACTTCCCACAGCCATGAACTTAAATTAGAGCAAGACAGGAGAACTCACAAAACACACAAAAAATAAACATTTTCCAATTGTTAAGAACAGAGCAAGGCTTCTGTAACTAGAACAAGTCCTCTCAGTTGAAACCCTGCCTTTATCATCACGTAGGTTAGCAAATGTAGACAATAACTATCTAAGCCTAAAAGCAAATGTGAGCATCTCTTGCTCACATTAACAGACTGGCTGTTTCAGGGAACACCTGTAAGGCAACCTCTGAACGCCTATTTTTGAGGAAGGCAGAAGCTCTTAGACTCTGTGCTGCTTTTAAAGTCTGGTCCTCCATGTCTGTTCTTACAGCTGCTCTAGGGAGGGTCACAAAACTAGATGCATTTCTCACTGCAAACAGGCAAAGTGGGGTGGCGTGCAGAGTAAGACTCACATGCAAACTGCCATCAGTGACTGAACTGTTGGCATTGGTGGGCAGTAGCCTTCAGCCTGCGCTGAGAGGAGATGCCACCTCAGAATTCCAAAAACCCCAATTCCCACTTCTACTAGGAACTCGAACTACACTAAGTCATGACGCAAAAAAAGAACATAACAAAACACCCATCACTAAAGTGTAAATTCAAGAGATCCTTTGAAATCAGAGTTTTCAAAAGAGTACACTTGCAACAGAATAAGCCAGTTGAAAAGAGAAACCAAAGTCACTAGTGTTCTATTTATTTAACTAGAGGAGAAAAAGACCTTCCTTTTTCTAACTGATATTACATTTTGTTCATAATGTTTAAACCACAAGCTACTAAGTCTTACTTGTCAATAATATGGGAAGATCTGGTTGCTATCATATTGGGAATTCTTTTTTTTTTATACTTTGAAAATCACATTCTTTTTGTGATGTTTAGTCAGGAGGTGTGATTGTAGTTTGTGTTGAACAAATGTTTTCAGCTGTAAGGTGTTATACTGTAACTGAGATCTTTCCAACTACTGCTTAGAAGAAGACATTTGCAAATGCCTGTCTTAATTGCAAGAAAAACACCCATTCCAGATGATTTTCTTATTAATCTTCTGGGTACAAATCTATTATTACCATGGTTGAGAGATCATTTAAGAAATAGACAAATTATCATTTATAAAGAGACTATAGAATCAAGTCACATATTAAGAGAAGAATGCTTTATGATAGTTCAGACACTGGTAGGAAATCAAAGAAAAATGCATGTTTTTGATTACTCCCCCTGGAATATGCTGAAATCGAAAATTTGCAACCCACATAACTAAAGATATATCGAAGAAAACTGAAACTTACTACATATTGAGTTCATTTCCATCGCAGTAGTCTATTTGAAAAACAAACCCCCATAAGGAATCCAAGAATGGAATCCATTCAAAGCAACAACTGTCAAAAGTTCTGCCAAGAAACTTGGAGTAATTTATTGCATCATGAAAGGTGAGGTGTTCAGAAGAACAAATAGTTCAATCATATTCTTCCCCTCCGATTTTATTTTTTGCTTCAATCCAAGAGAAATATCTAGATCTAAAACTCACTGAAATATGTTTTCATACTTGAAGACTAAGTAAATAAAACTCAACATGGTAAACAGAAGAAACCCTCCTAATCTATTTTTAGTATTGCTAGAGGCTCGACGACTTGACTCAGAATCTGTAAGATCAGCTGGCATTCCAACTCTGCCACTAGTTATCTCTCTAAAGATTCTTGGGCTAGAAAACGTAGTTTCTGATGGCCTTGGTTTCCCCACAAGCAAACTGCAGGGGACGGGTACAAGTGCTCTCAGCTCTGACATCCTCTTCTCCAAAGGGGAAAATGGGCATAGCTTCCAGCTAAGATGTCTCTCCTCCCAATCAGGCCCAAAGCACTTCTCTAGTATTTATAAAGCAGTTTGATCTTACCAACTGAAACAAGTGCAAGTATCTGCCTTGATTACAACATGCACCTCCATTCCAGATTATCTACCTCTTGGTTGTACTTCATGTCTGCTGGACAGGGATGTGGCAGAAGTAATACACCACTTACAAGAGACACCGAGGTACCCCATTAGCCCGCTATCAATCCCTACTGTGCTTTCATCATGGGACTATAGGACCCCTTTGGAGGAAGACCACTTAACAACAAGCTTATGAAACCCCCATGGATGGGGGCAACATCGACATTCTGTCCACTGAATTCTGCCCAACAAGTGGGTCTAATTTTGGAGAAGTTTTATAGAAGAGGTATAATGGTGATTTCCATAACCCAGCCTTCCTGTAAATCACACTGAAGGCTCACAGAAACAGGAGCTATAATCCTAAATTAAAAGTGCACATTCTGAGAAAACAGAGACATGGAAGAAGAGCACTAGTCAGGTAATAATAATAGTGTATATTGGGTTTTTTTTTAACCCACTTCTAAGCAACTAATACACTATGGTCACTGTTAAGTGCAGTCAAGGAGGGCACGTATTGAATGGAGCACTGGATGTTATACGTAAACAATGAATCATGGATCACTACATCAAAAACTAATGATGTAATGTATGGTGATTAACATAACAATAAAATTTAAAAATGTAAAAAAAAAGAAAGCTGGGTACAGACAATGATGTGTGCTTTAATGCAATGCTCATCTTAAAATATCAGTGAAACTATGCAACTCATGGGACTTTAACTGTCCAACGTGAGTTTGGTCCTTTAGTGAAAACCAAGCCAGCTAAACAAAACCCCAACCTCCTAATTTGTCTCACTCTGGCACTGCGTTGATGGGGGGAAAACATATCAATATTTTTTAAATGTATACTAAAGACTAACATTCCTGAGCTCGTATGCCTCCTTACTGGACATGCAGTGCTATCTCGAGGGAGCGCACAGGTACTGGAAGATGAGGAGATGGAGCGCACATGCTGTTCTTTCCCGGGTGGAATGTAACAAAAGCTAAGCATGCTGTGGAATGTCTGCAGCAAGTACACTGCTGATCTCAGGACACTGGAAAAGAGGTTATGTCAAAAATCTGCACCGCCCATTCGTAATCTTAGGAAGGGTTTAAAATGACTCCAAACCCCTCCCAGAGGGACAGAAAAGGCAACCAAAAGGGAAGGAAAGGGAGAATAGAGAAATAGTTTAAGTTCTAGGATTTTCAAAATCAAATCAAAATCTTTTCATATGCACCGGATAGAATCAACAATTTGTTTTTCTTTGGGAAAACATCATCTGATTGAGCCTTTCTCTTCTGCCATTAAGCTATTGATGAAGCTTGCAAATAAAATAAGGAAGCATTAAATAAACACCTCCTTATTCTAAAAGCTGTCAACTCTACTGAAACTGAAGGCTTAATCCCACACTGCAAACCTATCCTAAACCACCTCAAAAAGGACCGAGGCACACCCCACACCTCTACTCTAAGAATGGGTAAATTAGCAAAATGCACGAGAGAGAGCATTTCCTGTAATCAGTCTCTCAAAGTGATGTGAAAGCGGGCGTGCCCTGATCCCTCTGGGGGTCAGTCACTTCCCACTTTCAACCTGAGCTTTCAGGAGGAGTGGGTGATCAAAACTTCCATAGGATACTGGCTTCGGCAATTTGAGCTCATGGTTTTACATCACATACACTGGAGTCAGCTGGGCTCCGCTGGACGGTACATAAACCAATCACTTCCCAAGAGTACACTTCACAGAGAACAAACACTTTTATATACAGAGTGAAGATCGGTTTTCTTTCATTAGTCCTTCATACTCAATACAATCACAATCCAGGTTAAAATAACAAAGACAAAAATAACTACCAGAGTTGTTGGATTGCTGGTAACAACCATTTCCCCTTCTTCTCCAGGGTGAATACCTGGGTTCGAGCAACAAATATTTAACAGTCCGAACAGTCTCTTCAGCCTTTCACATCTGATGTGTGGTTTCCAAATTCATGCATTTAGAAACATGTTATCCCATGCAGGATAAAAGTAGCGATCTGGCAACTATTTATTTAATTTGATCGAGTGAGGCGGTTAAAGTGGATTGCTCTTACCCAAAAATTTACATGAAAGGACTGAATTCTGTGAGTTGATGGCCTAAGTGGGCCAAGTTAAATAGATCATTGACAAAACTTCCACTTTACAGAGGTGCAAAGACCCAATAAATCTCTGCCATTCAACAGAAAACAATAGTTATGTATTATTTATAGCTAGGTACAATGTCAAAATGGCAATGGCACTAGAGAAGCAATTTTTGGCATATGGTGGCGGAGGGCACGGCGCCTGTCTAAATCTGATGCTCTTGTTTTAGTTTTTGCTTTTATTATCATCATGCCAAAGACTATCCAGTTGGAATCCCAATTATTCAGGAAACCGACCTACTGTATTTGATATATACAAAAATAAAACAAGCATCCTGAAGGTACTAGGTTATGAGGTTTTATACAAATCATAAATTCTTTAAATAAATAATGCTCTAAATTGTTTTTAATTGCTAGAAGATTGGTTTTTGGTAAGGAGCAACATCTAACAACTTGAGGAAGTACTTAAGAATGGGAGATAAATTCCACTGAAATTACAATTTCAAGTGTAAGAATCAGCTGTATTTTTTCCACCAAAGTAAAACGTACAAGTGAAATACAAGAGAAAAGGAAACGTGGATTATATTCCGCTGCTCGCAGCTCTTCACAGTCCTGGACATCTATGACAAGTAGTTGGGTTGAAACATTCAAAGAAAAGATCTTGGCAGAAAAAGTCACCCACTGTTACTTGAGTCTTGGGGGTTACAACACAGTGACTGGACGAAGTTGTTCCAATTGGTTTTCCAATGCAATCCGTTCTTGATGAACCTCCTGATTTGTACAAAACAGAGAGAAGAAAACAAAAAAGCAAAGGGGTCATTTCCTGGGTTCATCCCTACTTCATCAGATATTAAAAAGAAACTTGTAAGCAGACCCACAAACGCTGAAGTACCACATGACTCTAGGACAAGCAGACTAGAAGGAATCATATTTACAACTGGTGACTAGACAGAGGCGGCTTCACAATTTGTCATCTCGCAGCTCCTCTCTGAAGATGAGGAAATGAAACTGACTGACGCCACCCCTACACCTCAATCTCACTGGCAGTTTTAACAGGATCAGTGGCTGGCAGAAGTCAATGTTAAAAATCAAAAGACAGAGACTGGGAGAGAGCAGAAAAGCAAAAGCAGAATGCTAATACTGAGAGGTGAGCCAGCAGGACTCAACTTCTAGCTGTGATCTCTCATTTCTAGTCCAGCACCACACCCTGCTGGGTCTGAGGGATGAACAAATGCACCGGCCATCCCTCTGCCAAAATCTCGTCTTGGCTCCTGCACAAAATACAGCTGAAGGTATGACTGTATGGCTAAAGGCAGGGAGAAAGAAAAATAGGATCAGCCACCTGCTATTTGGGAATTCAAACTTTCGGCCCTAAAACAGATTTATTGGCAGGAAGACAGGGGACACTTAAAGACATTTGGAAGTAGAATCAGTTAAGATGGGAAAGAACTCTGTAGGAAGGCTTAATTCTGAGATGCCCCAGAAGAATCAACATGCTAACAGTCCAAACAGAATTCAGCAAGCGTTTGTTCACCCTCCCCCCTACCCAGCCATCTAAGAGTCTTTGATTAACTGTCTACTATGGGCCAGATTCTGCTCTAGGTGTGACAGTACCAGCAAAGAACAAGATGGATCAGACCAATGCCCTCATAGGCTTTATACTCAAATGGCTAGAGGAGGACAATAAAGAACACGATACTTTCAAAAGGAAATAAATAAGATGAGGTAATAGAGAAATCTGGAAGACAGGCAGAACAGCTGGTCATGGAAGGCTTCTCAGAGGTGATGCTATCTGAGCAGAGACTTGAATGAACTGAGGGGTGAGCCATATGAAGAATGGGGGAAGGATATTCAGGGAGACAAAATGGCAAATACAAAGGCCCCAAGGGAGGGAACAAATTTGGTGTGTTTGATACCAGAAAGGCCTGTGTGACCAGAGGAGAGGCAGCCAGGAAGACACTGGCAGGAGCTGAAGTCTGAGAGTTAGGCACAGACCTTGTGGACAGAGTCAGGAGTGTGGACACCATTCACAGTACAGGGGGATAGCATTGTGGGTTTTGAATCAGGGAATGTATGTGGCTTAATTTAGAATTCAAAATGTTCACTCTAGCTACTGTGTAGACAGTGGATTGTAGAGTAGGGCAAGAGTGCAGGCAGGGAAGAGTTGCAAGGTTACTGCATGGACCCAGATGAGAAATGAAAATGGCTCTGGTCAGGTAGCAGCCATAAAGATGGCAAGAACTGGATGAATTCTGGTTTTGTTTTATTTTTTTTAATTTAGAACTGACAGGACTTGCTGATAAAGTTGACGTAGAAAAGAAGGAAAGAGATTTGGGATCAAGCAAGTGGGTGGTTAGTAAGTGGTACTGAGAACAAGATTAGATGAGAAATAGGCATTTCAAAGGGACGGTTGGGAATGAAGCGTCTGAGGTGTGTATTAGATATATTAAGAGAATATGTTGAGTAAGCAGTTGTAATTGCATGTCCAAAGACCAGAGGTAAGAGAAGTAAGGTTTGAGACATAAATTTAGGATCACCAGGCTATGGATGATGATCTTCAAAGCCCTGAGATTGTGTTATCATCTAGCAAAAGAATACAGACAGAGGCTGCAGGTGAAAGATGGAACTGAACATACACAGCATACTCATTCCTTACTAGAACTCCACTAAAACAATGAAAAAGTTTTTTAAGTCACAAACACAAAAGAACAAGAAAAACAAAAGGGAAGAAGTGATACCAATACAATTTGCAAGCAGGAAGGCAAACTGATGAATGGTAAATGACTCAGCAAATCCAAGCAAAATAAATGTGGGCGTTCTACCAGTTGTTACATCGCTGCATGGTGGGGTCCGTCCGTAAAGTGACCCAAATACCCCTTTATTCAAGGGTCCTGCATCTGTAAACTGACTTAGCCTGGAAATTGACTGACAGGCTGTGACCAAAGTTCCATTCTGATGATTCTTCAGACTTCTTTTCACTCGAGCTAGAACATTTTCACTCATACAGATCAAGGAGAGAAAACTAAACCTAAGCTAAGCATAGGGACAAAACAAGAACCACTTGATTTTACATAGAAGAGTCCCTGAAAGACTCAAGCTGGCAGCGCCAGATACCTTCGTAAGTGGAAGCAGAAGAGGGGAGGAGGATGGCTAGAGTAAGTGTTGGGTGTGAAAGTCTGCTTCAGAAGCAATTAGCTCCCCAGCTTCTTCCTGCTACCAGGGCAGAATACTGAAGATTTATTCCTTGAAAAGGTAAAACACAGGGCCTCTTGATTAGCAGTACAGAGACACAGCTGAGGACAAGATACTGGACTGGAACTAAGGAGATTAAATGAATATCCTAGGTACTGAGACCCACAGCCCTCTCTCTCCACTGAACCAGGTCTTTCCCTCCATGTAGGAGACTTAAAAAAAAAAAAATCTCTCTGGAAATTCTATCAGATTAAAAAGAAAGCACCAATGATACTGCCTTGGGAGGATCCCCAACTATACAGCCCAACCAGACTGTTGAAGACTGAAGCTCAAAGTTGACAAGCCCCACAACATGCTATGCACTTCCAGGGAGCATTTGCATCCTCCTCCCAAATATAAGCAAAGGATCATCAGATATTGAAGGAAAGCATCTAATAAGAAATACGTAGCAGTAAAATAGAAAAGTATTCAGGAAGAAGACAAATACTACCGTTAATAAAAGATATTACAACAATGAAATGAGAATAGGATACCTTTAAAAAGAAACAATTAAAGAACAAAAAATGAACTCTTGGTTATTAGACAACAGTTTGAAAACTTAAAATTAAGTAAGTCTCCAGAAATGGACAAAAAGACAAAAATAAAGAAGAGAAGTACAGAAAACAGAAGATAAAATATGAAAATATTAAAATACCAACAAGCTAAGAGTTCCAATGTCTGAAAAATATCAGCAAGCGTAAACAGAGAAAATGGGCGGGGGGGGGGGAAGAAACATGGAGAAAATACAACAATAACAAAAACCAAGAAAACCCTCAGAACTGAAGAATATGGGTTTCCAAATTAAAAGGGCTTACCAAGAAGAAAGAACACTGTATGAAAATGATCTACACCAAAGCAAAGTAAGAGGGGAGAAAAATAAAACACACATCAAAAAAGTTCATACACAAAGATTCATAAAACAGAATGAACTTTGACATTTTAAAAAATCTTTTTCATTACATGGTAAGAGTGACTTTTTTTAGCATACAGTTCTATAAACTTCAACACATGTATATATTTCTGTAACTGCCACCAACCAAAAAGCTCCCTGGTACAACTCACTGATCTATAAACCTTCACCTTCACGCACAACCCCTGGCAACTACCAGTCTGTTTCCCAGCACTATAGTTTTGTCTTTTTAAGAAAGTCAAATAAAAGGGATCAAACAGTATAAAACCTTTCGACCCTGGCTTGCCTCACTCAGTGTAATGTCTTTGGAGTTTCATCCAAGTTGTGTGTATCACTACTTTTACTGCCAAGTACTATTTCATTGTGTGAATGTACCACACTTGACCTATTCATCCTCTGAAGTACATCTGGGCTGTTTCCAAGTTTTGGCCATCACATAAAACTGTTATGAACATTCATGTACAGACTTTTGAGTGAACACAAGTTTTCATTTCACTGGTGGATACCCAGCAGTAGAACTGCTAGATCACATAGTCAGTGCATATGTAACTTCCTAAGAAACAGCCAAATGATTTTTCAGAGTGGGGTGCCATTTTGCATTCCTATCAGTGCATGAGAGTCCCAGTTGCCAGCACCCGGTGTTGTCATTATTTTCTGTCTTAGCAATTCTACTATGTGTGTGGTGGTACACGATCACAGTTTTAATTTGCATTTTCCTATGGCTAATGATGCTGAGTATCTGCTCACGTGTTTATCTGCCATCCTTATATCCTCTTTGGTGAAGTGTCTGTTCAAGTCCTTTGAGTTTTTGGAGTTTGGAGAGTTCTTGAGTTTGGAGAGTTCTTTATATAATCTGGATACAAGTCCTTTGTCAAATATGTGGGCTGCAAATATTTTCTCCCAGTCTGTAGCTTGTCTCCTAATTCTCCTGACAGTATTCTAGGCAGAGCTAAAGTTTTTAATTTTGATGAAGTACAATTTAATTTTTCTGTTCTAGGTTACGCTTTTGGCATCATTTCTAACACCAGGTCATGCAGACTTTTTCCTATCTTTTCTTCCAAAAGTTTTATACCTTTATGTTTTATGTTTTCATCTATGACCCACTTCAAGTTAATCTTTGTATAAAGACTTAGGTTTCAATCAAGGTTCGTTTTTTTTTTTTTTCCACATATGGAGGACCCGTTGTTAGAAAACAACTGTTGAAAAGACTATCCCCTTTCTCAATGAATTGATGTTGCACCTTTGTCAAAGACGGAATGGCTATGTTCATGTAGTCTACTTCACAATCCTCTATCCTGCTCCACTGATCTATGCATCAATCCCTCCCCCAAGCCCATATTGTCTTGATTACTGAAGCCTGATACTAAAGTGATTCCCCCAACTTTGTTCTTCTTTTCCAAATTTGTTTCAGCTATTCAAGTTCCTTGGCCCTTACATAAAAATTATCAGATTAGCTGATCTACACCTACAAAAAGTCCTGCTGGCACTGTGACTGGCATTGTAGTGAATCTGTAGATCACTTTGGAGAAAAATAACATCACTACTATGTTAAGTCTTCCAATCCACAAAAAGCAAACATGTCTCTCCATTTATTTAGGTCTTGGATTTCTTTTAGGAGCACTTTATAGTT